TTTTTGGGGAGTGGACGGGTCTTACTAACATCTTTCTTTTTTAGTTTGTTATCGGGGTCATCACACCCCATCATTTCATAACATTAATATAATTTTTATACAATTGTAAATATTGAAATTTTAAGTCATGGGATGTTTTTCAGTAGGAGGCCTGTGTGTGCGAGAGAGAGAGAGATGTATTTTGTTGTATGTAGGAGCGAATGGTGACGGATAAATTCTTAGGGTGAATGACTAAATTGTAACGAATGAATGGGTTGTGAATCTGATTAATTAGGTATAAGTGTGTCGACCAGCCTTCAATCATATCTCCTCTTTTTTTTTTTTTTTTTTTTTTTTCGACCTTTTGTCACAATTACTGTATTTAATTTACTGTATTAAATCGTAGACAAGTAACGTTTGTACAAAGAGTTATAATTTTTTTGTAGATTATAACTGAAATTAAAAAAATATTTAACTTGAAAACGGAGATACTGTCGAAATATTGTTTAAAATTGTCAAACATTTTTTTTCTTAAATCGCGCTCTTCTCTTAACTGTTCAAAAATATCATTTTGTTTATTATTATTATTATTATTAATATTCTTAATAATAATGATAATAATAATAATAACAAAAAAAAGCATTTAAAAATCCAGGAAACCAATCACGGCCTGAAATACAAAAGATTGCATCGACCGAATATGTGAGCAACGATGAATTTTGAGAGAAAATGGAAACAGAAAGGAAAGAGTTGAAATTTCTAGGGCACATAATATGAAAAGAGGGTTTGGAAAATCTGATACTCACATGACAGACAGAGGGCAAGAGGAACGGAGGATAGCAAAGCATAACATACTTAGTGAGCTTGAGTAAATGGATGGCGGAACAGGGTTTAAGGAGAAATAACAAGTGAACAAAATTTATCAAGAGCTACAAAGGACAGGAAAATGTGGAGCGCCATGATCGCCTACGTTCTGAGTGGACACAGGACATAAAAAAGATTCAGTTCGCATACAGGAAAACTGGAGATGTTTATTTTTCATTGCCCTCACATCGCAACCAAATGTGACATAAGGTCAGTTTAAAGAGGGTTTAATGGCAGTACCGTGGAAAATTCGCTCAAGCCTCCTCGGCCCTTACTCTTTTCGAGTTGACTCAGACAATGACCCCAGCCTCATCTGGAAGGAGAGGTACTGCTCCCCGCCTACTCCGGGGCTTGAGCTGGTATAATTTGAAACTGGAGATTATTATTTTATTTCCTTTGATCAGGACCCGGAAAGAAATGGCATGAAATTGTCCACTGAGCTGTTTTGAAAAAAAAAATCATACGTATTTTACATAAATAAAGGTAAGGTGTGATCTATACCTGTGAGTACAATTTATTTGTATTTCTCTAACGCATGGGCTACCAGATATTCCTTCAATGAGTCTATTGGAATCTTTTTCAAATCAACCCGAGGGTTCCAACTACAACTGGGATTGTTAATGTCTTCATGCGCCATATTTATGAGATTTCGATTTCAAGGTCCTTGTATTTTGATAGTTTTTTTTTAAGATCTGCAAAGGGACACAGGTCACAGGGACTGCCACGTCAATAAGGAGGCACATTATGACTATTATAATTATTATTGTCCCTCCGTTATTATTATTATTATTATTGTCCCCTGTTATTATAATTATTATGCGTGGTATCGTTATTCCAGAAAGTAATTTCTTGCAGTTTCATTCTTGTAAAAGTTGCAGGTTTTCCAGTCCATATTATTATTATTATTAATATTATTTTCTTTAGTTTCTGGTGTATACTCATTTCTTTACGGGTCCCGACTAGAGACTTAAGGTCAGAAATGACATCATGACATTTTCTACTGAGCAATTTTGAGAAACAAAATCGTACGTATTTTACATAGATAAAGCCCTTTGTAAGGTGTGGGCTGTACCTGTGAGTACGATTTTTTTGTATGTCTTTAAGGCGTAAGTTACCAGGGATTCCTTCAATGAGTCTATTGGAATCTTTTCCAATCAATCCAACGGCTCCAACTATAACTGGTATTATTAATGTCCCCATGTGGCATATTTTAATTTCAATGTCCTTGTATTTTGATAGTTTTTTGAAGATCATCATTTTGTCTTTGCGATCTCTAATCACGATGTGAAGGCGATTAGCTTTGATTGTTCTGTGTGTATTGTAAATTCCCATAAAATAATTACAGGTCCAATCTCCGTAACTTGGTCTGGGTGGTGTTTATAAACATTTGTTGAAATTTTCTTATCTCCAGTTTCCTTGATCTGTGCTTGATACAATCGCTTTCCAGAGACCTGAGAAAATAAAAGGTTTTTCTTAGAATCGTATTCAGCATATTGCAGTGGGAATTTTTTTTATGAGTATGTGAAAGGAGCTCATGGGTAGTTCAGATAATAAGGAGTTTCCTGGAATTTTCTTAATGATTAATTTCTTAATTACTATAATTAATCCATATCTACAGATAACGGAAATAAAAATTTAACTTGTATTTGACAATTGCTGAGATATCTTGTAGCGAAGAGGTTCACAGCATTCATTCACTCGCTCAAGCTCACCTCGGCCCTTCCACTTTGGAGTGGGGGGGTTCTCAAGCAATGACCCCAACCCCATCCGAAAGGATATACTAGCTGAAATGCCTGTTTACAATGTCTGATTATAATAATAGTAAATCTATTTCCACTGATGGTGATCTGGCCTACTTAATGGCTGGATGATCGTATCCGAGGACTAGCCAATCTCTGTTTCAGACGCCTGCTCGGTCACATTTGTGTTTGTTCAACGCCCACAGAGCCCACCTGTGGTTTATACTGTAACTATGCTGAGCGGACCTTAGTCTTTGGGAGAGAGCGCATTATTTGGTGTGATCAAGTCTGAACAAGGCCAGCATGCTCAAATCCTCCGTCACGATGACTTGTGACTTCGTGCCTTCACAGCCATCTACCCCCCAAGTTCCGTTTACCCAATTTCACTTACAAGATTTGGATCAAACTTTCCAAAGGTGCCACACGCGTGTGTCGCCTCCCACAGACCGATAACATCAAGAAGTCACAAATCTGACAAATCGACCTTTATGATCAGAAAACGAACGTTGTCGGCCATGTGCCCATAAACTAGTCTTTTTAATGATAGAAAGAAAGTATAATTAAATTCGCCTCGAATAATTCTTATCTATACATTTCATTGACGCAAGGGGCTATTGGGGGTGAAAGAGAATAAAAAGACTTTAGAAGGAAGCAGAAACCCAATTCTAAACAGGAAACGCTGGATAAACTTCTACTCTTGTTCATAAAACCAGGGAGGAGCCTGAACCGGTTCGTCATTGGGTCAGGGGTCAACGGGTCAGGATGGATCTGGGAACACCAGCAATTAAGAGGTGGTTTCACGCTCCTCAAAAACTTCTGATCAGAGGCCTTGCAGTTGGATATAGTTTATCGTCTTACCCGGGACGCGGATGTAGTTTCTCGTCATACCCTGGACGGAAGTACACAGTAAACCAACTTTCATAGCAGTAGACCTAACAATAGATTCAATATAATCTTTCCGTGGAAAACTTTAAACCGAGAAAACGCAAAGAGTCACTTTCCTGGAGAATTTATTTTTTAAAGGCAAATATTAGTAAAAGAACATACATTTTATGTCGATTAATTTTAACGATCGACTTTTCCAAGTTAAAAATAATCATTCTCAGACAAGGAGAAAAAATCCGTCAGAAATTGTCTGAATTTAATTTCGGAAGAACAGGACAAAAAATATGGTCCAAGCATTCGACTTTTTTTTAATTCATCATCAGGATAGGTAGAGGCAATTAGTGAGTTTCGTGACGTGTTATTTTTCTTTTTTTAATATACATTTGAGGATGCGGACTTTTAAGTTATAATTGCTTTTATTTATTGATGTTGTTTTTGTTGTATGATTATTGCTTCAAGGATCATGTCTGTTTTTACTAATTTATTTTTAATAATAATTTGGTACAGCTTGTTTTATTTTGTTGTACCTTGTCTATATTGATCTTAATATTGATGGTTCTTTTAAAAAAAACAAAAATTGAGACGCTTCTAACCTTTTAATACTCATTGTCCCTCTAGTGGAACATTTTAAGACATTTTTGGATACTAAACAAGCATTAATTTTTAATATTCTGTCGATGATATACACGGAAAAGATCAGCAGCTGACCTGGGGAAAAGGTCCTGCGATGTGAGATGCTTAACTAAGGCCCTTTAGATGTTTTCCCTCAAAAAGTAAATAGCTAATAGGCCGATAGTTTGACGCCATAACAGATGAGGATTTCTAGTAGGCAGGAAAGGAAGAGGCAGCGAGGCCATTACAGTTGAGAGAGATAACCGGAGCTCGTTCGGGAGCACGCTTATTTAGGACTATTGCAGGGATACTATCAGGTCTACATGCTTTGTGGGGATCCAGATTAGAGATGATAAGAGGTTATATAGTTAAATTCACAGATCAATTCTGTGGACAAGACAAATTGGTATAAGATGATAATTGGAAAAAAATCTTAGGTTTTTTGCCGACGCGTTTCGTCCTCCAACTTTTTCAAGGCAAAAATGAAATCGAAATGTTTTTGTTGTTATTATTACATTACAAAATCCAAATTTAAAAAAAGAGACGCTTCTGCGTAAGCCACTTTCTGGTTAATGTAAATTTCCTTTATACTAAGTCTTTTTTTTTTTTTTTTTTTTTTTTTTTTTTTTACATTTTTTAAATTTGGATTTTGTAATGTAAAAAAACAATAACAATTTGATTACATTTTTGCCTTGAAAAAGTTGGAAGACGAAACGCGTCTGCAAAAAAACAAGATTTCTTTTCTAATTGTCATCTTATACCAAGAAGTTATATGCATATCACTCAACGGAGACTCAGTTCTAAGTAGGAAGTTAGACAAGGCAGAGTTTGAGAAATTATGGGCGAAACATTCAACTTTATCAGAAGATGTTAACACCTCAAATTGATTAAAGAGAGGAGGAATAGAAAACTTGCTTTTATTTAATACAGAGCTGCCCGTAACCAGGAGAGTCGAGGCTGCCCGTAACCAGGAGAGTCGAGGCTGCCCGTAACCAGGAGAGTCGAGGCTGCCCGTAACCAGGAGAGTCGAGGCTGCCCGTAACCAGGAGAGTCGAGGCTGCCCGTAACCAGGAGAGTCGAGGCTGCCCGTAACCAGGAGAGTCGAGGCTGCCCGTAACCAGGAGAGTCGAGGCTGCCCGTAACCAGGAGAGTCGAGGCTGCCCGTAACCAGGAGAGTCGAGGCTGCCCGTAACCAGGAGAGTCGAGGCTGCCCGTGTAACCAGGAGAGTCGAGGCTGCCCGTAACCAGGAGAGTCGAGGCTGCCCGTAACCAGGAGAGTCGAGGCTGCCCGTAACCAGGAGAGAGCCGAGGCTGCCCGTAACCAGGAGAGTCGAGGCTGCCCAGGAGAGTAGGCTGCCCATACCAGGAGAGTCGAGGCTGCCCGTAACCAGGAGAGTCGAGGCTGCCCGTAACCAGGAGAGTCGAGGCTGCCCGTAACCAGGAGAGTCGAGGCTGCCCGTAACCAGGAGAGTCGAGGCTGTTAGGTGCATCCGGTGCCTCATTTTCTCAGCAAAAAGAGATTTAGGTCATTCGAAGATACGTTTATTACGTGCAGCTCCGAATAGGCGTCTGTTGTGACGGGAACTATAATTCTGGTATAGCCAGAAATAGTGGTTCCTATGGGCTATAGAAGCAGAAAATTGAGGTTTCACTTTGCATTTCCGAGAAGAAATGAAATTCTTGACGGCTTTGACCAAAGAGGAATCCTTAGTGGTGCAATTCTCAGTACGAAGGTTAAAAATCTGTCCAATGGGTGTGTCAAAGAAAATCACGTAGTGAGTCACAGTCAGCATGCTGATAACGGAAAGATGTCTTATGAATAAGAAGTTCCTGTTTAACAGATGATTAGAATGAAATATCAATGGATACTACAGAAGATCCGAGTTTCCAAGAAGATAGTTTTGCGAAGGTCGGCAACAGCGAGAAGAGGAGTTAGGAAATAAATCAAGTAAAGCCTGTTGCTCAGATTTTCTAGGGAAACTAATAAGGAATTGCGGAATGGAAAAACAGTGTTTGAATACCGGCAATATCGGTAACATTAGAATTTGCCAAAGTTTACAAGGTCCATACAGGTGACAGTTTACATGTCGGAGGTATTTCTGCCGCACCCTGTACAATGTAAATGTTAGGATTTTACGATAGAAAATACATTGATTTTATGACATAAATACATTGAAGCCCAAAATAAAGGTGTTGTTTGTGATCAGAAATTAAACAAGCATTATTGACATGATAATGGCGGTTATGAGTAGCATTCATTCAAGAATAGTTGGACTGATAATTTCTCACGATGAATGGCAGCAACTTTCTTACTAACTGCTTTTTCTGTGCATTTGCCGAATTTAAAGGCTGCATTGTGTTCTGCTTATTTAAGTAGACAAAAAAACTATATGACGGACTAGGTGCCTGAACATAATTAAATTTTCAACTCTTTCCAACGTTTCTGTCTCCGTTTTCCACACACACATACACACATAATGAGAGAGAGAGAGACGATTATTATACGTTGATGACTGCGAGAGAGAGAGAGAGAGAGAGACTAACCACTTTATACACTGATGATTGCGAGTCACCTTCCATATTCTTGTTTAATCAAGCAAGGTAATAAAGCCACTAAGATGCAAAATAATGTTAAATAATACGAGAAAAAGGAAAACGAGAGAAAGCAATAAATGTACCGGAATTAAGACGACAAAAGATAACAATTGACACTGCATTTAAATTTTGAAAGATCAAACTTAAATGGAAAACAAGAGGCTAGAAGATATTACTACAAGCGAGAAGTGCAAAAGAAGAAACTATTAGCATAGAACTTACGGTTACATCTAGTCATGTCAATTGTAAAATGGTGAGACCTAGCAGCCAGTCTAGTACAACGTATAATTCGTAAACTTGAGATACTAAGGAGGAAATTCATCAGAACAATTACCATGAAAGTACTTATAGAAATGGCGCAGGGGAGCTACATTACAGCCGTGGGAAAATGAGTGAAGCCGGGATGCCTGGTCAGGACCAATAATACTGCAGATTCTTCTTTGGATTTTATCAGGAATCTCGAAATATGTAACTGAAGCACAAGACCAGATGCGACAGCAATATTCAATGCATGGACGAATGGTAGACTTATAAGTGTGTAAAATAGATTCTGTCGAAAAAAAATTGTCTAGCATGACACAACTTTCCTGGCAGATGACCTAGCAAATAATTCAATATAATCTTTCCACTTCATGTTAACGTTAGCCCGAGAAGTCGCAATAAATTAAGGTTAGCATCCGCCATAGACCAAAAAATTTAATTTTTTTTTACCGAGAAATGTAATTAAATGTTTAAAACATTTTCTTTAAACTTAAGAAAACAAAAAGAAAAAAAATTATAAATTTTGTCAAATAGAAAAAAAATACATCGAATTGAATTGTTAGAAAGTGGATAATATTTTACTTTATACTGTAAGCCCATTTGATGACAAAAGATACAACGTCTCCCACTAAGAAATATATTTGTCTTACGGGGAAAACCAATTGTAAAAATGAAATAAACTAATCATAAATATTTCATTCGTTAATGAATTAAACTGGTTTTTGAAGTTTTTCCTCTCGGAAATTACTGACTGACATTTTAATGACTTTGGGGACATTTAAATTGATTCATTTTTATATTTTCAAAATTCTACGATTAGTAAAGACTTCGGTCTTAGTTTTTTTTATATTTTTAATGTGGTTTTTATTCCTTTTAAATACATTTTCTAAAGTAGATTTAGTTAATAAAATAAATTAAAAAAAGTCTTGCTAACTGGGAAAACCAACGATAAGTGCAACCGTATTTAGTAATGTTCTACTGTGTATGAAGGATTTAAAATGGATTCTATTTTTCTAACAGAGCTCTTTGGGCAGGTTCCAGCTTCACGGCGATTATAATTAGGGATTTCTCTCTCTCTCTCATATATAACAAATATTCGCCTTAAATAATTGGGATTTTAAAAAAAAATTTAAATTTCCAAGTGTGTAAACAAGTTCAATTAAAGCAATAAGTTTAAAAACACAACCCAATCATAAACTTAAAGCCCCTTTAAGAAGCCCTCAACAAAAAACAAATAAACACCAACGACTAACATCAATAATGTTACAAGGTAACCAAAAAAGTTCTGTCCGTTTTTAAAGGAAAAAAAAGAAAACGCTTCATAGTATGTGTAACTTATATTTAGTCTTCGAAATAATCGCCATCGGCATCCAGCACCTTCTGCCAACGTGTCTCCAGTTGTTCAATGCCCTTGCGGTAGAACCCGGGGGGTTTTGACGCAAAGAAGTCTGTGAGGGCTTTGCGCAAGTCTGCTTCATTGGTGAAGGATTTCCCACGAAGATGATTATCCAGGGAGTGGAAGAGGTGGTAATCGGATGACGCAAGGTCAGGTGAATAAGGTGGATGGCACAAAGTTTCCCACCCAAGTTGTTGTATGGTATCCCTGACCACTCGCGCGACATGCGGCCTGGCGTTGTCATGGAGGAAAAGCACACCTTTGCGATTCACCAGTGCTGGCTCCTTCTGGCGCAATGCCTGTTGCACACGTTTCAACTGCTGCGAGTATAGGTCTCCAGTGACCGTTTGGTCCGTTGATAGCAGTTCATAATGAACCACTTGACGACCTGTTCACTAGACACAAAGCATAATGTTGCGTGGGTGCATAGGCAGTCTTGCGGTGTGAGGGACAGCATCCTGAGGAGTCAACCAATGTCTGGAAGGCTTGGAAGTTTCGTACAGAACCCACTTTTCATCATTGGTAAGCACTCGAATGAATAAGGATGCGGTACGGTGGCGAGAAAGCAGCGATACGCAGGCTGCCATCGTTATCCCTTGTGGACCTCCAACAGCGTTTGCGGAACACACTTGCTCAGTTTGTACGTCTTACCTAGGCGGTGCAGGTGAAGTCTAACTGTTTCATCGTGCAAGTTCCCCACACGTTAGACTACTGTCCTCTTCAATGGCCGCCTTCAGGACTCCGTCATTCAAGACCTATGGTCATCCACTGCGAGGCTCATCATGGAGAGACAAATCTCCCGACTTGAATTTTCGAAACCAACGCCTTGCAGTACGTTCATCCACAGCACTATCCCCAAACGCTTGACAAAGCAAACAGCTCCGAACGAGATCTCTAGACAATTCACATCCTTCTGTCTGGCTTATAACTGATGGCCGGGCACGGTGCGCGTGTCTTTTATAACGTCTGATGTTCCTACTTCCGGCTGTCCGAATTTGAAAACAATTGCTACACGCATTTCGTATATATTTCAACTTCATTCAATGACTAATCAAAAAACGGATAGAACTTTTTTGGTTACCTTGTAAAATCCTAGCATAGAGTAATAAAAAAGAAAAACAGAACCACTACATCAATCGGTTAGAGATTTTAGCAGTGAGTCTGATAATATTTGCCATTGTAGCCAGACAAAAAAAAACCCAACACAACCTTACACGACTCCAAAAAAACCTGACATACCACAAACACCCATACTTCCATTAAAGCAGTGACCCCTTGATAAAGAAAACAAACCCCAGACCACACCTCCATTCAAAACTATAAATGAGTAAAACATTCCATACCATAGTACTTCCAAAACAATGCTTGGTTAAGGTTTAATATTGGAATTAAACTTAAAAACTGCTGACCAGTTTCGAAACATAGTAATCTGTGTCGCGATGGAATCATATTTTAAAAAAAATAATAACCTAGGCTCTACTTGTGTATCGAGCACTGTTTTTTTTTTATAAAAAAAAAAAGTAAAGAACTTTGGATCATCAATCTAACAGTTCTTTATTATTATATCAATATATCTACACACACACACTATATATATATATATATATATATATATATATATATATATATATATATATATAAAGAACAGTAAAATATATAATCTGGTGTTCTTATAGATATTTTTATTTTTACAAAATAGTGCTCAATGTAAATTTACAGAGCATTAATATTATAAATTAATTGATTTAAAATATGTTTTTTTTCCTACAAGTTCTAACCATGTTTCAAAAATGAAATAAAAAATGGCATGAATTTAATTTTACAAAAATTAAAGCATTAGTTCCATTTCATCTTCAAGCGAATTTTGAGCAATTCGCTTGAAGATGAAATGGAACTAATGCTTTTTAATTTAATTACAAAATTAAATTCAGGTTTTTAGCTTCTTTTTTGAAACATGGTTAGAACTGTGTAAAAAAAATCATTTTTAATCAATTTATAAAATATATATATATATATATATATATATATATATATATATATATATATAATCTCAAGAATACTTATACAAACTTTGGGGATGTATGGCTAAAGACAAAAGTCCATATAAACATAAGTCCGAAAATCCTTCGTTTTTGAGCAATTAAATTAAAGTTTACGGTGTAGACGGTGTTACATATACAATGTAAAATACGGATACAGGAGCTGCTCTTGAAGTACCCTCCATACAAAAACTATGAGATAAACGACCTGCTAGGTCCACTTGACATGCGCTGATACCTCGATAGTCTTTGACAGCCTGTAGAATGTGTTCTACGTGTTCAGGCGTACGAATGAATGTCGGTCTTCCTCGATTTATAGTTTATGGTGCCAAGTTTCCAGTCTCAACAAACACGACGATAAACAGCAGCGAAGATCGGATGACTCGGCCGCCTTCGGCATAAAGTTTAAAGAAAAATTACGGTAGATAGCGCTGTGTTGCCATGTAGATGAGGTTACATTTGTCATTCGTGTAGATTTGTGGCTCGTCAGTGTTCACCGTTAACGTCTAGTAGTGAGTTAATTGAAAATATCCGTTTAATAATGGCAGGATATTCATATCGTCGACCAGCAGATATGATTCTTGCATACGGCCACGCGAATGGTGATGGCGATGAGGATGCGTTTCGAAACAAAATTTCGCTGAAATTCTAAAGGTCACAAGTAATCTTTCCCCGCTCTGTCATACATTTTCCCCAAATAATGTTCTTGATATATATAAAAGATATATCGTTATCTGTCTGTCTGTCTCTCTAATATATATATATATATATATAAGTGAATATAGAAGTCAACACTTAGAGGCGACAGTCTGTTTCATGCTAGACACCTCTAAGTGTTGACTTCTATGTTCACTTTCATATTTACACATGCTCTATCTCTGATATTGAGCAAAATATAGCACATCTTAAGACTAAAATATGTATTTGTGTGTTTTCTTCCTTTTTTTTCTTTATATATAGATGGATAGATGTGTTCTCTTCCATTTTTTTCCTTTTTTTTATGGATAGATGTGCTCTTTTCTTTTTTATATATATATATATATATATATATATATATAGATGTTCGCTTCCCTTTTTTTCTTTTTTATATATAGATGGATAGATGTGTTCTCTTCTCTTCTTTTTTTCTTTTCTTTGTTCTTTCTTTTTTCTTCTATTTTTTTCTTTTTTTCTCGACTTCCACCATTAGTAATAATTATATTTCTATAATTACTAATACATTGCTGACATTTGAGTAGGCCATAATCCATTTCTGAATCCTTCTTTTTCGATGCTCCGATCTTTGAAAA